TTTTAAAGCTGCCGGTGCTCCTCCTGGCAACTGCGGGGGGCGGGGCGGCGCAGGTGTCTTGCTGCTGTGTCTTGCTTGGTGTCTTGCTGCTATGGAGGCAATTTTCCATTTGTATTTTCTCCAGGACTTCTGAGTTAAATCCCAAATCCATGAGACCATTTCTAGGGGTTAAATTCTTTTTCTCATACTTGGCTCGGACAAAGACATTTCATCACCATACATGTTGTGATCTCCTTAACTCTGTGCTTCTCAATTATTTTCTGTCATGCCCCCCCTAGGAAGAAGAAAACATTTTGCGCACCCCGCGCGACTGTAAATAGTATCATTTGTCTATAAAATTGTTATAGAGCCCTCCCTCCATTCCATCCGATGTCATCTGGGAGAGAGACACCAGGCCCAACACCATCGGGCCTAGAAGAAGAAGAAGAGCCCTCCCTCCATTCCATCCGATGTCATCTGGGGGAGAGACACTAGGCCAAGCACCATCGGGCCTAAAATAAGAGGAAGAGCCCTCCCTCCATTACCATCCGATGTCATCTGGGGGAGAGACACTAAGCCCTGCACCACCCAGCGTAGAATAAGAAGAACCCTTACTTCTTAAAGGATGGGTGGGCTTCGGGATTTTATGTTTTGTTTAATGGAAATTGTAATGTTGTAAGCCGCCCCGATTGCTCTGCAGAGGGGCGGGATATAAATAAAAATTATTATTATATTATTATTATTAGTAGTAGTAGTAGTAGTAGTACACCTCTGCATAACACTGTATCCTTATTAAGGTATATGAGAATAAAAAAAGAAAGAAATGTGGATCAATTTACAACAAAGAATAGCTTTATTAACTTTAGCTGAAAAGATTACGGAGCTTTGCGCCCCCCTTTACGGAGCCTCGCGCCCCCCCTTGGGGGCGCGCCCCACTATTTGAGAAGTACTGCCTTAACTATACTAGGATGTCTTTGTTACTGCCTAGTGACTGCCAAGCAACTACTGTTATGAACATCACTATGTTGATACATCTGGCACTTCTTTTCTCCTTATCCTCCCCTCCCACATCACCAGATAAATGTCTGATGACTGAATCCATGCTTCCTACACCTAATGAAATGGTCTGCAGTCCATGAAAGCTTGTGCCAAATAAAGCTTCTTTGTTGTGTGCCTTCAAGTTGTTTCCAACTTATAGCAAACTTATAACAGTTTTTTTCTGGGGTTGAGTGTGTTACTCCCCCAAGGTCACCCAGTTGGTTTCCATGACCAAGCGGGGAATCAAGCCTTGATCTCCAGAGTCATAGTTGCAACAAAATACTACACCACTATGGCTTTTAGTGTTTAAGGTGCCACAAATCTTTTTCTCTTGACTAAAGTGATACTTAACAAACAGCATTTCTATTCTCTTACTAAATCTATCCTTCTTATATAGCTTGGCAATACGTCTGGAATGATAATCAATGGATAGAGTTTGGAAGTAACTAGTTATAAATGGCTAGTGAATTGAAATTTATTACTCTCATTATGATCATAATGAAAACATCACTACATTACATTATAATTGTTAACAACAAGGGATAAATGTCATACCTTCTGTGTAAGTTTTACATTCATAGCTCCAGGGATATGATCTCAGGAGGAAGCATGTCTTATGGTTCAAATGTTAGCTCAGGCTCTCCCTTGTTGTGAGCGTTGAAGTGATGATAAAGTAGATGAGAGGAGGGTTTTCTGTACCACTGAAAGCACACTTATCACTTTAAAAAAATACCACAATTGTAACAGTAACGAACTATTTGTCTTGTTAGAATAGCAGTAATTACTTCTTAAAAGTACTTTTTCAATTCTCTCAGTGGAGCAGTAATTATTAGAGTAAGCCAGTGTGGTGTAGTGGTTTGTGTGTTGGACTGCAACTCTGGAGACCAGGGTTTGAATCCCTACTTGGCCATGAAACCCACTGGGTGACCTTGCGCAAGTCATATACTCTCAGTCTTGGGGGAAGGCAGTGACAAACCACCTCTGAACAAATTTTGCCAAGAAAATAGGGTCGCCTTAGGTCCACCATAAGTTAGAAATGACATGAAGGCGCAAAACAACAACAGCAACAAAATGTATTTACTTGGATGAAGAATTAGCCTGAAAACAGGTTTGTTGTTTTTTTGTGGGAAGACCCAAAATCACTCTATTTACCTTGAGATTGCAGTATTAAAGGGAGGTGCATTCTGGCATCTATTAAGAGCACTAGCCAGAAAATCAAGGTTCATGCTGAGGCTGAATGCCCTGCCTGCCAGGAAGAATGGGCAATGGCCCCACTCACAGAACAGTGTTGGTGCTCCAATGCCAATATTTGGTTTTCTCTTCCCTCCTCATTCATTTTTCCTTTTGTACTGTATCTCAGACTGCAGCTGGCTGGCTTACATTTTAATATCTGTACAGAACTTAGAAATAGTGCTTTGTCTGTTTTAAATTATTAATAGTAACTTTTCACAGAGCTGGAATTCGCTAGCTTAAGCTATGACCAAGTTAGATTATTTGGGGATTTTAGTAAGAGGACGTTCTTTGCATGGCACCCCTGCCCTGATGGCAACATTATTCCATGGTTTCTCAAGTACAATGAAAGTGTGAAAGGGTAAGACATCCAAAATGTCTTTCCATGATACTTTTGCTCTCCTTTGGAGTACAGCCTGTTTAACCTTCAGAAGGGTATACGTGCATTAGTGCAATCCTTTCACAAAGTCTCCTTTCACAATTAAGAATTCTGCCTGGTATTCAGAGTGAGAAGAATATAGGGAAGGATAAAATATATAGCAATATCTTCAAAATATGCCTGAAAGTGGGAAGTTAGATATACGGCTCTTAAAACTGATTAATTTAATAGTGAATGTCTTTCTTCCTTTATAGCAGCCAACATTGCCATTCATATTATCATAATCTTTAATATGAACAATTTTAAAAGGTGGAGCTGTGTTGGAAATGGTTAACCATAGTTGTGCTGAACCCAGTCTATAGCCATTTTAAAGGATATGTAGCTATTGGCGAGAGACATTAGCTTTGTTTGAATAATCAAATGAAGTGGTTGGGATTGTTTCCAGTAACAACAAGGCAAAATCTTATTCTGACTTCTGTGATGAATTTTTCTTATTACACAGGGATAGAAAAAAATCCTTCATGGTCTGTAGGTGCAAATCTATTAAATTCTCAGCTTATCTGGTCTGGTCAGTGTGCCTGGATAGAGTTCTATCTGTATTATTTTTTTTAATTATTTGTATTTATTAAAATATGTATACCCCACCTCATGTGCAATAACGTGAAAGTGGGGTACAGAAAATAAAACAATGCATATATGCCTTTCCATATAAACTCACTTTTTGCTCTTCATCTTTCTGGAAGATCCAGAGCCCTTTGTTGTGACATTGGGTGGCTGTTCACACACACATCTTGCTTTGCCACCTGGCATAACTACCACTATGACGATTGACTTGCTCTGAGCTCAGAATGAGACATCCAGCAATGTGATGGATGCTGGGTGCCTTGTTCTGATCTCATGGGGACTGATGTATGGTGACAGTAGCCAAGCCAAGCAACACAGCAAGACGGGTGTGTGAACAGCCAAATGGCATCACAATTGCAGTGTCAGGAATGGGAGGGGATGTCGGGGGACCTCCAGGGCTAGAATACTCTGGGCTGCCCCGGAGTAGTATGTCCCATTCAAAAAGAGGCCCAGTCTCTGGAGAAGTAGAAAACAAGTTTGCTCTATCCACAAAATGACATCCCATCAAATATTTAAAGATGGTTATAATGTCACCAAGGAAGCCAGTGTGGTGTAGTAGTTTGAGTGTTGGACTATGACTCTGGGGATCAGGGTTCAATTCTCAGCTTGGCCATGAAATGCACTGGGTGACCTTGGGCAAGTCATATGCTCTCAGCCTCAGGGGAAGGCAATGGCAAGCCTCTGAACAAATCTTGCCAAGAAAACCGATGATAAGTTTGCCTTAGGATTGCCATAACTCGGAAATGACTTGAAGGCACACTGCAACAACAAATCATTTCACAGCAGAAGGAGCAGCAATGTTGACAGATTGTACATATCACTGGTGTAAGCAATATGATTGGTTAGTGGAAGCAGCATTCCCAAGGATCCTGTGGGAGTGGCTGTTGGTGCTGTTGCATTAACTTGTATTTGTACTTGTTTTGATTTGCTTTCTAATGTGCTGTTGAAAATGTGTTGGATTGTGAACAGATTCGGCTAGTATAACAATGGCTTCACCCTGAACAACTGTGTAGCATAGCAGGGCAATTGAATCAGTTTTTGAATCCACAGGACAGACTGAAGCAACCTCCAGTTTTTGCTTGCAACTCATTAAAACTTTTATCACATTAAAAGCCAGACAAAAACAGCAACAAAATCACACATGGCCAGTTCATGTTTTGACATGTTGGTTCAGCAAGACTGATCTGGCATGCTTCTGGGATACTATTTAATTTGCTGATATATGCTAAGTAAATATGAGAATAGCTAGAACCATTTTATTCATCTCTTATATTTAGGATGGACACTTAATGATAAAATGCTACCTGAGGATCAGAAAAAGAAAATCACCCAACATTTGTTTTATAGATATGAAGCAACGTTTTATAAATCTGTCACTGTGCAGTTGCTTTGGCCATTTATTTTTCCACTTCAAATACTATTGCTTGTTTCAGAATCTTTTATGTAAATACAGATTAATAGATTTTAAAAACTGCAGGCATAGGGAAGAGATTAGTTATCCTCGTAATAATATATTATTTGGTTTAGGCCAAATTCTGCATTCTGATACACCTGAGCAACCCCACTCTTGTTTCCAATCATAAGCAGATCCATTTGGGAATCCAGCCACATTTGATCTGTCCCTAAGACAAAGCTAGCAGCATGCCTCTTCTATCATATGAGTCTGCCGAGGTTATCAAAGTCATCCCATATCAGACTTATCCATATTTGTTTAATTCTTCCAGGCTTCTTTCTTTCCTTCTTTTTCTCTCTCTCTAATGCAGCAAAAGTCTTTTAACCTATTGCAAATAGAAGGTAGCCAAGTAATTGTCAGAGCAATTCCACATATATATCCTGAGATGTAAACCCCACTGATTTCAGATGGACTTACTCCCGGGTAAATGTGAATAGGATTAGAGACTAATCCTAATTGTTATAGTCTGCAACTTTCTTAATACTCTTTACAAGCAATTACTGTTACTTATAGTAAAAAAGCTTCTTCTACTAAACAAATAAAAATCTGTGGTCCAACTCCTGGAGAGCCACAGATTTACTTGAATTGCAGTAATAACATAGTGCTAACCAATTGTTCTACTCTGTTGATACTGGTTGAGCAAGCGCTTGTGTTTTTGTGGTGCCCCTTTGAAAACAGTAACAATCCTTGAGATTTGGTTGTGTGGTATGATTTGTATGAGTCCAAAATAAGAAACAAAAAACAAAATAAAAATCTGCATACAGTATAAAACTGAACCAAGAAATCCACTGGCATGGGAATTAGACACAGTGATGGCTGTTTATATTACTATTGCTAATTGCAGATAGACAAATGAATGTTCTCATTTTTATTTTTTATTTTTTGGAAAACAGTTCTTACAGAGATAGATGGTAATGAAAAATGAGGAAGCCTTTAAACGTCTTATACTTTTGATGCAGCTTTTTTCTTATTACTGTAAGGGGCTAAATTTCATAAAGACTTAAACCTCCATGATAGTTACTAGTATGAACTACGGTCATGGTAAGATGGAATGTTGGCATGATAACTGCAGCAAATAAGGAGACCTATATCATTCATATCTAATTCAGGGGTGGGAATTGTGTGGCTCTCCAGATGTTATTGAATGGCAAACCCCAGCATTTCTTACTGTTGACTAGTCAGGGGTAGGCAACCTTTCCCCTTTAAGGGGCGAGGGACTTCAGCTCCCAGAAGCCTCAGCCATGTTGGCCAATAGTCCCATGTTGGCCAATAGCTCCTGGGATTCTGGGAGCTGAAGTCCCTCGCCCCTTAAAGGGGAAAGGTTGCCTACCCCTGGGCTAGGTAGCAAGGACTGCTGGGGGTTGCTATTCAACAACACTTCCCACTCCTGATTTAATAGCTCAAGAACATAAGAACTGTTATATTAGATTTGGCCCAGTCCCTTGCTGGTATTTCTGTATTAAAGGTATACAGTGTACATTTGTATTTGATAAAATCCCTATACAGACACCATTAACAAATCAGATTTCCAAATCTCGTTATAATGCCATCCATCAAATGTGAAATCAGAATATTTCTGAAACCAAATTTAGCTCACATTGTAGCCCCTTTATCTTTTAATTTCTCAGAAAGGTAATATATAATTAAGTAGTAAAATTCTGAACTAAAACCCATTCCCTGTTTCAATTCTTAGCATGTACCAATTCAAAATTTATAATAAAATAAAATAATATTAATGGCATTATGTGTTAGAATTAGTGGCATTTATATGTTTATGATTGGAGTTTGCTGCCATAAGATGGTCAAAGGAAAATGCATTCATTATAAGAACATTTGTTACCTGGAATTATGCTTGTTAGACCAATTTTTTTATGCAGGTATTCCTTAGTTAACAAAGTAGATGTGTTCTTGGGTATTCCTTCTTTAAGAGTATATTTAGTATTAGAGGCAGAAATAACACAGAAAGAATAGGAATATGTTCTTACAACACAAAAAGGAAGAGCAGTTCAACAGTTATCAGCAGTTATTCAATTATAAACAGAAAATCTGGCACTAGAGACCAATATAACATGGAGAGAATAGGAATTGGTTCCTACAACACAAAAATGAAAAGCAGTTCAGAAATTATCAGCAAACATTTTACCCAAAACTAACAATTTGCACATGTGAAATGAAGGAGTCAGGTCAAAAAAGAAACATTTGACTTTTCTAGAGAGCCTGTCTG